ATTGCATGATACTCCTGCAAGGCTGTGCATGGCTTAAAGTGTGCATGCTGCTTACAACTGTGCATTATAGAAAATGTTACATACTCTATAAGTGAACAAAGGAACACATACAGTGGCACAGTGAAGTACTTATTTGATTTGGAACAAAAGCAGTGTTACCCAACATTTTATAAATTCTCTTTGTGTTCTTGTAAAGTTTGAAGGAGGAACAAACTGCTTTTGTAATATACTACAAAGCATCATACTCACGGGCATGTGCCAGGCTCAAAGCCCAGAGTCTTAGGTAGGAGGCTGTGTTGGAGATGCAACCCAGGCAGTACTCTATAGTGTGGATAGCCTGATGCAGTAACTCATCTGCAAAGTCAAACTATTACAATGACAAAAAAAACAAAAACAAAAAACAAAAACAGCATTAGTGACAGAAAAGTAAAACATTACAACGGCTGCTTATAGTGAGATTGGAGATAAATTGGTTAATAGTTCCGTTGCTTTGCTGTGCTGACCTCATCTGTCTGGTCCTCTCCAGTAGTGGAGAAATCACTGTGACTGCTGCCCTCCTCCATGCTATGAGCCCTCATCAGGGAGAGCCCCTCTTCACTGTTACGCCGCACACGCTCATATCCCTGAAAACACACAGAGAAACTTAATATGATTTGCAAATATTTACAGTTAATTTAAACAGATGTTTTTCGACAGCTATGCACACAATCACAGGCAAACATGCATTTCAGACCCTCACCCTGTACATTCTGAGGTGGTGACTTCCATTGTGAAGCCAATAAAGGTATACAGGTTTCCCCAGGAGTAAGACAGGCACTGAGAGGACAGCAATGACCACCAGAAACACCTGCATGCCAGCCTGGGAAAAGCATAACAAGACTGCATTATATTGTTATGACGTGTGTCAGTGACATTTGCAGTGCGTTTTAATTATTAGCTTTAACCTACTCAGTATGAATGGAGACACATGTTAAACTGTAGCAGGAAGCCAGCATTACATTAGCCTCTCACCTGTCCTGGGTAGAGGCGCGGCACTGTATCCCCCTGCAGGAGGAACATGTTTATGAAGTGGATGAGTATGCTTGGGGCCTCTCTGGAGTTCTTAGAAGAGAAGACCAACCACTTGTAGAATATCATGAACACCAGGTAGCCAAAGAGACATAGCAGGAACAGGAGCTCAGGGATAAACACCAAATACAGGTTGTGCTTCTTCCTAGAGTACCTTTTTTTTTTTTTGGACCAAACCAAGGAAGATTACTGAAAGGATAACATCTAACATTAAACACTTTACGAATTTTAAAAATTACTAATAAACTGGTACTTACAAGTAATTATAAGCGCTGAGAATGACCCCGAAGCTCATGTGTACGATGCCTAGTATCACTGACATCTTCATCTTATAAGAGTTCAAAAACGTAAGGCGGTTGGTTGCTAAGTTCCAGATCTTTACAATGGAAAGAAGACACACAGTATTTTACAACGGGTAGTTTCGACTGGTAAAAGATGAACTACTACAGTTTGCTACACTGAAAGTAAAGGGGCTGAATAATTTTGCACGCCCAATTTTTCAGTTTTTTATTTGTTAAAAAAGTTTGAAATATCCAATAAATTTCGTTCCACTTCATGATTGTGTCCCACTTGTTGTTGATTCTTCACAAAAAATTACAGTTTTATATCTTTATGTTTGAAGCCTGAAATGTGGCAAAAGGTCGCAAAGTTCAAGGGGGCCGAATACTTTCGCAAGGCACTGTATAAGGAACAGCTAGCTGTTTTTTTCCCCATTGCTTAACCTATGCAAGGATGGCATCACTATCCATATTGGTGGCAGACTTGATTGCTGCTGCACATCAATAGCTGTTTCATTGGCCTTAAACTAATACAGTTTTATAACAATCAGATTAAAATATTACAGGTCGAAAAAGAATGTTGCACTAGTCTCAACACACAGGTGAATATGCTAATCAGTTCCACACAGTGATGTATAAAGACTAAACTGCACCAGCCTCTTGACTGGTATTAGCCAATACCCTGAGTTTGGAAATCAGTTAACTATAGATAAAAAGGCATGAGGGTGCATCTTTAGCTCTTCACCTTGAATTCTCTGCATAAAACACTCTTGCATAATTGCTAATTTAGAAATACGTTGCCTGGTGAGAATCTGAAGTGATATGCCATTTCTGTCATTTCAAGCTGCATTAACTAAAACTTAGCACTAATTTGGATAATTCAAGCAAAAAAAAAAAAAAAAACTGTCAGGATGTGCCATCTCCCTGCTGTATTAAACCTCCTCAACCCCAACCCACTCTGCTATCTTCTGTTTATTTTTCTCCCTCTGTGGCCACTGTTGTTAAAATCCGCACCACACTTCTTTTACACTCTATAAGATGCATTTTTCAAAGCAGTATGGCTCATTTCAAAGATGGACCGTGGAGGCTCCCTGTGCATGTACAACCCAGGATGGGAGTGGACCTATTAGATCCAAGAGGCCGCGTTCTGCAGCACAGAAAGAGTGCGACAAAGAGTGAGGCAAAACCAGGGTTAACACTGGTTTGGCTTGTTGGAGATGGAGAGCCTTAAAAGCATCTTAAGGACTAAAATGTGATGCAGATGTGACTTTCTTCCTGCTAGATGCGCAAATACTATAGCTGGCTAACGTGTATATGTCAGCATCATTAGCAAGCTAACATTAGCTTCTCAGTGTTGTACGTTTATATTGAGTTATCCAGGTAGGCATTTGGAGTCTTTTAAACTGATTGCTATGTTAGTGTTTTGTTGTCCAACCAGCAGAAATTTCTCTCATTTCCCAACTCATGGTTACCTAATAACATTATGTGTGTCAAGTATATAACATTGAACACGACACGATAGTGGCCAAAACATTAGTACTGTATCAATATTACTGCAAAAAAAAAACATTCCTCTGAATACCGTAATTTCCGGACTATAAGCCATACCCACTAAATTTAAGACGAAAAACATTTTGTACGTAGCCGCAGGTGTCCACGTTGAACACGACACGATAGTGGCCAAAACATTAGTACTGTATCAATATTACTGCAAAAAAAAAACATTCCTCTGAATACCGTAATTTCCGGACTATAAGCCATACCCACTAAATTTAAGACGAAAAACATTTTGTACGTAGCCGCAGGTGTCCACGTTGTAACATGAGATATTTCGACAGCCAGGTCGATCGCCTGTAACTTGAAAGCTGCATCATATGCATTTCGTCATGTGTTTTCCATGATGAGGGTGTGTGCATGAAGTGAAAAAAGTAGCGGCTTATAGTCCGGAAATTATGGTAATTTACTTGTGTTACTGCAATGTCACTAAAAACAACGGGCTCTACATTTCGTACGCGTTAGTTTTGGATCCAGTTATTACTGCTGAGCTACTACCGAGCCTGTCTTTGTGGCGTCTCTGTAGCTACCACAAATGACATTGTTTCACAGACAAGGCAGGAGGGGTAAAGAGGAGCAGAAGCAGAAGAGGTGGAGTTACTGCTTGAGTTTCTTTTGACTCCACTAGTTCTCCAATGGTCAAAAGTTAAAGGGTGAAAGTTAGTTAGCCACTTTAAAAAAAGCAACTAAGTTCTAACTAGCTAAGGTCATCACTGTTCTTGTGGAAACAGGAAAGTATTCAGCATTTTTTTTTTTTTTTGCTGTTTTCAACTATTATGTACACACACACAAAAACATGTTTGTGTTATGTCAGTATGTGTAACTTCAAGTCCACCTCATAGTAGCATAATACATTTCAGAGTGCTTTTTGATGTGATTGTATGATAAATGATATTTAAAACCTCCACAACAATGAGAAGACAAGAATATTCTCTACTCACTGGGTCAATTCCCACAGGGTACGGCCCTTTGAAAACTCCAGGAACATTCGGATCCAGGGTAAGAGAACTACCCCTGTAGGCACATATTAAACCACCGGTGTGTTAACTCAATTGTAATGACAAAAATTCCATCAACTTAATGTTGTATCTTCAAACATGTATAATATATTGCTTATTTAAGTTCTTAACAGTGAAAATAATACTTCTGCACTTCTGAGCACTGTAACAATGTCCTTGTCATGATGAACTCACGTCCACATCCCTGAACTGAACATGGCGCTCACATTCCATCCAGAGCCAAAGATGTTAAGGGACTTTGAGAAACAGTCATTGTATATCAGGCCAGTGTAGATGGAGAACAAGCCCATCATCAGGATGATATAACGCCCCTCAAAGAATGTGTTCCAGATCTGCATGTATACGTCAAAATGCTTAGGCGCACTTCAGACACTGCTATATGCCACTGCAGCATTCATTACTCACTCACCTCATTCCTGGTATTTTTAAGCTTGCGGTTGTTCTCATGCCGCACCATCCAGAAAGCAAACAGAGCCATGATAATGCCATGACCCAGGTCCCCAAACATCACAGCAAACAGGAATGGGAAAGTGATGATTGTAAAAGGAGCTAAAATGAGTGGGAGAAGAAACGTAAAAAATCTTTATATACTGGGGCATTAAAAATAAAGATATCAAAAGGATCTAGGAACAACATGACATAAAAACAACAACAAAACTAAATTTTAATTGACAAGTTAACGTAAGTTGAAACAGAAAAGGATAGTACATAAATAAATTGAAACTAGTTAAGCTGAATGACATGTACAATCATTAGAGAAAGGATTTTAACATAAAGAGATCACTTGAAGCAGTTGCCCTTCACATAGCCTGTTAAAAAAACAGACTTGAGTTTCAATGTCACCCATTTTCTGCATCACCTCATTTCAGGAATAGATTTTGGTTACATTATGCACATGGAGTATTACAGAATTAGAATAAATCAATATTTTCTGATTTTTGTGACTTATTCTTCAAAGACTGTCGTGCACCACATGCATGGCACAACTCTGTGCCACAAGATTTTCTGAAGTCTCCAAACTGAGGCATAAAGGCTTTGGCCCAATCACATTTCATATTTGGAGCACCATTCGATGTTCAATATGTGAACATACAGTGAGAAAAAAACAAAACAAAACAAACAATCACAGAAAGACAAAGGGTCCCACGCACCAGGATTAATCTCCCTGTAACTTCCCACTCCATAGGCATCCACAATGTTCTGGAAGCCGGAGGAAAATTTGTTGGTCCTTATCAGGGTGGGCGGAGTGTTGCTGGTGGGGATACAATTGACAAAAGAAGGAACTGTCGCCCCGCTTTTTCTCTGAAATTTGTCAAGTCAAAATGTCAACATGTTAGCAGGAACTAATTTCTGCATAATGTCTCGAAACATCTCATTATTCTGCATAAAGAAGACAGCAACAGAAATCCAAAAGCATTTAAACATGAAAAAATACAGCAACTATAATGCCCCTGGACAGATGGATAACTGATCCCAAGGGATGGTTATGGTTCAGTAGTTTTGGCATAATATAAACAGAGAGCCTACTGTGGTGAAATGATAAATAACCTTCTGCAAGTATATTTATTTCCATTAGTGTGTCTTTGTATTTCTTTATCCAAACTGGATTCTGGCCTTTTACTACCCACACTAAACTCAACTGTTTCTTAAACTAAAAAGGACAAAATAAAAGCAGTGCCTCATACAGTACTTGCTTTGATGATAACAATACCACAATTCATGAAGAAACTGCACTAGTTAAATAAAGAAAAAAAGGAAAGCCTGCAGTGAGGCCAAAGTCAGAAACAAAGCAACTCTGTTAGGAGTTTCCTCACCGAGCCTTCGTCTAGAGCCTTCCTCAGGATGGGAATGTCATTGACAGGACACCACACCTCAGCAATCAAACACTTGTTGGTAACATCAAAACTACACAAGTTCAGAATATAGTAGATGGCTTTCATCTTCTTGACCTGGATGACCCAGGTGTAGACAGACTCTGAAGCCTTAATCAGGACCTGTTTCAGGTAGTCCTCTGTCCTGTGAAGTACCTGGACACAAAACGGTGTGCACACCGTGTTAAAATATATTCAAGACTTTTAAAAAGGTTATATAGTTTATGAATGGAACATTAAAAAAGAAACACATTTACATGATAAAACAAGAGGCATGTGTCTGAGAATAAGATAGAAACTCATAAAGTAGACAAGAGCAGCGGTGGAGGGGATGAAAACCAGCACGTACGAAAAAGAGGGAGAGAAAAAAAAAAAAAAAGTTCAACTTTCAGCCGAGGCCTAATGCTGATCGCATGTTGCAGGCCCCCTGCAATTCACAGTGGGTTAAAGCTACCAAATGATTCACGCTGCATTGGCCCAGACAGAAAGTCAGCTGACTTTATAAGCACCAGTACTGACTCCCCAGAAAGGCCAACTGGGTTAATCTTATAGAAAATATAAGAAGCATTTAATTATGCCCTTTAGTTCTCTGTTCTTTGACCAAAATACTGGTTTAAAGGAGAAAATGTTACATGTTAGATATCTAGTTTGTATTTTAACAGGGAGATGATAAACAATTTAAAAGTAAAGCTATGGTGAGTGACAAACAGAATACCTTTTCTATCACTAATTAAACATCTGCATAATTAGATGCTTTAAGAAGATGCGAGACATACTGTGTGCAGGTCCTGAATGCGAGTTCTTAGTCCTTCCACAACATCGCTCCTCTCCTCATTGCTACTGGGATAGGGATACAGGTGACAGTGGTAGCTACAGAGGGAAAAGGTAAGGAAAGGAAAAGGTTATTCACAGCTCAAGGGGAAAAAAGGAAAACAAGCCTAAACAAATAGATATCAGGTTTTTTCTGCAATTATTAGTATATAACTGTAGAATAATTACCAATCACATATCTTCTTCACTTTCTGGCCAATTTGATCTCCCCAGTAAGAGATTAGGAACACCACACTTTTGGTAGGTTCACCCTGCGACAATGAAAATAAGAGGAAATGTCATATCAATGATAAGATTTAGATGGCCCACTGATGATAGAAACAGAAGAGTCATTTGGGTCCCATAGTAGGTTTTTTAAGTGATGCCTCTTCTTTCTGTTCAAAAACAGCACAGAAAAAAAAGTGCACATTTAATTTTGTTTGTAAAATCTTCTTCTTCTTCTTCTTCTTCTTCCTTCAGCTGTTCCCGTCAGGGGTCGCCACAGCGAATAACCTGTTTCCAGAATCAAACTCTTTATTTACCAGTAGTGCTTCAAACTTTATTCTTGACCCTGGAAATAGCAAGTGAAAAGCACTTTCTCTTTGAAAAAGCAAGACAATCTGTATTTTTTTGTTTTTGCTTTATTGCAAGCCTCCTCTTTTCATGCCATTCAGCAATGTGTTAACATTGCTTGGAAATTTTCTATCAGTGAAAGCTTGTCCTGACATTCCACTAGCAACTGGTTGCAGTCCTGCATGCCTGCGATCAGGCCAAGCAGAGGAAATGAATAAGTAGATTAAAGCTGTCACTCAGTATGATTAGACAATATCACAGCACTCACTGTTTATGAGGAGAACAACAGACTTCACGACAGCAAAAACACTTAGTTTGTTTCCAATTTTTCCTTTTTGTCTTTTGCAGTGCTCTACAACATTCTGTACTCTGTAATGTTTCTTAACAAGCTCCACTATGGCAACAATGCACAAACAAAATATTTAACACTGTGCACCATGTAATAATCAAGAAAATGGGATTTGTTTCCCCCCCATTATGTTAAACTGCTGTTGGAGCAGAAATAGCTAACATGCTGAAAATATTAAATGTGTTGGAATATTTTATATTTTACAAATATTTGTATTAAGAACTAAATTATGGTTCTTTGCAAAGTTATGGCATTGAACAAGGCACAAAACAAGGATTTATGAGTATTAACTTATGGTTTCCAATGTTTTAAACTAATTTTAATTTTAACTACAACAATTATGAAATGAAGAACAAAGATTCATCCTACAAAAGTTATTATAATGTGCAGACACAGAAGTCAGTTTTTTTTATGTGTTATTTATTACAGTTGAGTTACAGCAAATTAATCAAGGAATCAGTGTTGTTAACTTGTACCAAATTACCTTGCATTTAAACCAGAACCTGTTATAGGAGATACAGAAATTCATGCAAATGTTTCTTCAGCCTGCCACGCTGATATTTTAGTCTCACAATTTAATGTAGGGAAGATGTAACAGAACTAATTCGACATTAATGCCAATTGTGAAAAAAGTTTGCTTTGAGAGACTTACCGTGTCAGGGTCATCCATATACTCCTCGACCTCAGCATAGCTGAGGATGGTGTAGCCTTTACATACTCTCCAAAGCATTCGCTCAAAGGCCTGAATCTTCGCCCTCTGAATAAGCCCAGAGATGAAACTACAAGAGAATGAGGAGAATATTCACAAACTAACATGTAAATATACGTACAGTATGTGCATGTGTGAAAGGGATAAAAAAAAAAAAAAAAAACCCTCTTTCAGCTTCAAAATATCCAAATGATTAACATTCCCAAATCAGTGGTTGTCTGGGTAAATTTATTTGGGAAATAAGGATGAGAGAAACTGTGTGTTCATGAGCAAACATCTTTTTCAACATACAGTGGGTACGGAAAGTATTCAGACCCCCTTAAATTTTTCACACTTTGTTATATTGCAGCCATATGCTAAAATCATTTAAGTTCATTTTTTCCCTCATTAATGTACACACAGCACCCCATATTGACAGAAAAACACTGAATGTTTGACATTTTTGCAGATTTATTAAAAAAGAAAAACTGAAATATCACATGGTCATAAGTATTCAGACCCTTTGCTGTGACACTCATATATTTAACTTAGGTGCTGTCCATTTCTGCTGATCATCCCTGAGATGGTTCTACACCTTCATTTGAGTCCAGCTGTGTTTGATTATACTGATTGAACGTGATTAGGAAAGCCACACACCTGTCTATATAAGACCCTACAGCTCACACTGCATGTCAGAGCAAATGAGAATCATGAGGTCAAAGGAACTGCCTGAAGAGCTCAGAGACAGAACTGTGGCAAGGCACAGAT